TCTTTCCCAGCATACACAAGCTTCCATTTCATTAAGTCTCTCTAGGCTCTTGTCAATTTTTTTTCCCTAAACCATACTTGATTTTTCTCTGACAGCAGATGGCCTAACCGTTCCTGAAAATCCCACGGGAGTGAGAAACATATTTGGAGAATTCTGTTTAGCTTAATATTTGAATTTTTCTGATGCCCTACTAGTAGGACAGCTTTCTAGCCCCATGGTCAAATCAAAGGGAAAAATCCTTTTAAAACTCCCCAGATAGGCTGATGTACAGACATTGCATACCGGGTTTAACCTCCTTTCTGGCAGTATTGCTCGTCCTACGGTCACTGGCAAGCTAGCCTCAATTTGGCATTCTTCTCTTTAGGAAAACAGCGATATGACATGGACAAGGACTTAATGTTCCTTTGGATAATCATAGTGGGTGACAAATGAGTTACTTTTTCCTGTGGGGGGTGGAAAAAAAGGTTGCCAGTTATCAGTGTGTTCAGGGTGTTTTTCTCCTTTTCTCCTACATTCAGCCTTTTTCTAGCCAACAGTGTGCTTGACATTTGTGGGTCTTAAAATGCTGTGATGCTTGTTAAAAGTGAAGCTAGGGTGTTCCCTGACTGTTCCCAAGGGATACAGGGTAAGAGCAAAGAGAGAAAAAACACCCCCCTGGACTTTGGTGCATAAACAGAGGCTAAGAATTTAGCGATGACTGATAACAGAATGGCTTGGTTTTCCCATCAGTGGTTGCTGTCTTGATCTTCCTGTACTTATTTAAATCTGTACTTCAGTGTATTTTAAATTATTGTTTTGGACATTTCTGGTGGGGAAGGAGAAAAAGAAGGGTGAGTTTTAACACAGCCGAGCCTTGCTCAGAGTAACGGCTGAGAAGAAGCGTGGGCAAAATTACAAGTAACAACCTTATGTTTGACTGTGTCATTCTCTATATCCAACCCCTGCTCTTAGTCCCAGCTTGATGCATCTGATTTGCTTGGCACCTTTCCTTTGCCTGGGAGGCCAAACAAGAGCTACCTGCACAGATGACACCAGGGTTGTTTCTTGGCCAACTGGCAGAGGACCACCGTGATGGAGCAGCTGACTGCATCCTCTGGTCTCCCACCCCCTCTCCCTAGACTAAATATGTCATTTTTTTAACACCTGCTGCCTCTGCCAAATTCAATGACCATGTTTGTGTTGGCAGCTTTAGTCGTTTGAAAAAAAAAAAAACAAAACCAAACCCAAACCCCACAGCCCATCCGTTTTGCACGGCGCTGAAAAGCCATAGAGATATTTTAAGTGTTTGAAATTGGTTTGCTCTAAAATGGAATATCCAAGGTTCTCCCTTCTGAGATTTGTGTTGTCATCTTCCTCAAGGTCATACTCGCCTTGTGCGCGATGAAGTCGAAAGTTACCTTTTCCTTTTTGGAGGTGTCCACACGCTTCAGGACGCAGCGTTTCCGCTTCACCTGCCAGTCTGTAGGTTTACAGCAGCATGTTGTCTCACCAGGGCAACGTACCCGAACTGGGGGAGAAGGCCGTGCTGCTGCTCCTTAGAATCCCGAGCACTAGTCGTGTTTTGAGGTCCTTTCCTATTTGGTGTCGAATTGTTGTAAAAACTCAACTCAAGCTTTTGTTCATTTTCTTTTTTAAGTTATCCAGGCTTTAGGTGAACACCTTAAATTAAGACAACAAGTTATTGCCACTGCTACAGTCTACTTCAAGAGATTCTATGCCAGGTAGGACTGTTTACTCTGCTGGTACAAGAATGAAGCGTTTGCTAGGCACATTTTGGTAGCCCTTTTAAAACGCAGTTCTGTATTAAAAACAATGCCACTTTTTGTTTTCTGGATGGTGTAAAGCTTTTATGCTAATAAAGTTAACTTAAGCTTTGCTTTTTCAAAAGGAAGTGTGGTGCTCTTAACAGATTAATCGTTCTACCTGTATGAAACAACATATTATAATTTTGTTATAACATTTCAGATATTCCCTAAAAAGTATAGATCCAGTATTAATGGCTCCTACGTGTGTGTTTTTGGCATCCAAAGTAGAGGTATGAAGTATTACAATTTTTTAATGTAAAATGATGTGATGTATGAGATAGAGAAAACGTTTAGGACTTTAAAAATTTTTTTGTCATTCTTCGTGCTTCGGGGGTTGAAACCTTCTCTATTTTTGTATGGATTTCTGTAGCATTTAAGGAAAGGAGACGGAGAAGGCCTTCAAACGTGTCATGTAGTATTTGATCTTTCACAGTTTTGTCTGAATTACTAACCCTGAAGGGCCTTTGAATATTGGAGAGGGTATTTTAAACGGCCGTTTCACCGTGCCCCAGTGCTTACAGATTTACACGCGCTGTAACTTAAACTGTGAGGTTTCTCCTCTCTGGTGCGTTTTCTTTTATTTGGGTTTACTCAAACTTCAAAATAATCTCAATTTTTTTCCTAATCATCCTTTTCCCTTCCATATAGTGAGGGATCCTGAGTTTACCACACTTTCACGACTTGAATTCAAAGCGTGTTGTAGCTCGTACTCTGTCTTGGAGAAATTACCATAAGGAACTGACCCGTTAGGGAGAGCGGTGAGAAGGCTCCGTGCCGCCGGCGGTAGAAGTGCGGCCAAGAGTTCGCGTCAGCTGGGCGCTGCTCTTCCTCCTCCGTAACGCAAGAGGTTTTTCAGCTGTTTGAGAAGTGTCTGTATAACGGGGAAAAAAATCAAATTGGCCAATTTGTGGTATGTCAGCACTAATGAATTTCACAGGAGGAGCTCAAACACCTAGTGGATGGTAGAAGCAGTTCTACTAAACCAGTGTCTATGTGTGACAGTGTTGTCTGCACAAATACTGTGACACCTTTCAGTGTTTGCAAGAGAGGAAGGAAAGGAGAGGCACAGAATATTGGACAGTTTTTTTTATCAGCCTGTTAAGCCTTTAACCAAGTACAGACGTAGAGTGTATGTGTATGGACGTACCTCATGTTTTAGACCACAGACTAGAAATCTGTGCGGCCTTCCTCACGCTAACCTTCAGCAGCTTTAGAGGGCAACTGTAGCAGTAATGATTCTGCTGTGCACTTCTCTGAATACAGAAATAATGTGTACAGAAAATTTGCAGCTTGCTGACTGTCTCGCACAGGAGCTAAAGCATCATGGAAACATAATAAACAAAGGTAGTTAATGACAGGTTTCTAAAGGCAGTTTTCTCTCCAGATGGATTAAGGAAAACCGACATATTTTCTTGAAGCCCTTTTGTCTGTTTTGTATGTAGAGTGTTAGCCAACTGAGCTTTTGTGGCTTTGGTACCTTTCATAAATGTTTACTATTCCTCACAATTCAAACAAAGTAACTTATCAGTGAAAAAACTCTTTACCTAAGAGTTTACCCTGTTCGCCTTAATCAAAAAAAAAAAAAGGGAAAGAAAAAAGGGGTGGGGGAAAAAAATAAATACTGCAGTAAGAAGCCCAGTATAGTAAAAAGCGGTTATTTTAATTTGATAGCAGTGTGAGTGTGCGGTATTTCAGGTGGTTCACCTCATTTACCATTGTTTTTCCTTCAGGAGTTTGGTGTTGTTTCAAATACAAGGTTGATTTCTGCTGCTACTTCTGTATGTAAGTACCAGTGGTTTTCTTTATCCTGCAGT